TTTACTTCGACGCTTTTCCTGAGTGTCGAAGGCCGGGGGCGTGAGTCCTGCCGCTCCCGCACGTCTCAGCCACGTGCGGTGCCCGTCGCGGGCGATGGCTGGGGCCGTCTCGAGCCCGTTCCCAGTCGCTGCTCCACTCTCGCCTCCACCGCTTCGGCCTCCTCCCCCTCCCCCCCCTCTCGGCACCAGCAGAACCTTCGGCTATCCGCGGGGATTTTTCTTTTGTGTCGGCGCTGGATCCCTCCTTGTGGCGCGTGCGGCGCCGCCTTGGCGGCGCTCGCCGCGCGCCAAGGAATGGACGGGGCTCCAGCGCCGACCCGGGAGCTTTTCGCGCGGATCTTCGAACGTCTGTGTTTGTGCTGCTTCCGCAATGCCGCCCCGCGCCCCGTCGCCCGGGTTGCTGAGCTGGCTTGGCCGCCCCCCGCCGCCCCGCTGCGGTCCCCGCCGCGCGAGTGTGCTCGCCCCCCCTCCTGTTCCCCCTCTCCCGTGGCCGCCCCTCTCCTTTCCCTCTTCCTTTGCATCCGGGGCAATTCGCAGTGCCGTCGCCCAGCCTGCTGACCGCGCGTGCGGAATGACGCTTTCGCGCTGCGGCGTAGAATGTGCTGTGCTGCGTTTTTCCTCTCTACCCTTCCGGGCCCATCTCGATCCGATCGATCCGATCGATGCTTCCAGCCAGCCCGGTCCGATTCGGTTTTGATGCCTCGACGATCCGTTGCGGCCTGATGCTTGCGTGGCGTTGCTGTGCGCTCAGGCGCAGCCCATCGGATTCGAGATCGATCCCGTGCCGATGCGGCCCGATCCGATGCACATTTCGATTCGACCCGATTCACTGGTTCGGTGCTGACTGGTCCCGCTTCCCGCCCCTGCTCCCGCGCTCGCTGCTCCCCCTTCCGGCAGGACTACAGCGACGATGGCAAGTCGTGGCGCATGGGCCAGTGCTGCGCCGGCGCAGGCGGGGCTCACGAGGCAAGGATCGCTGCGGGGCCCAGGGATGTGCACCACCAGAGTCTCCTCGCCCCTGTGTGGGGTCCGTGGCGATCGATCCGATCGATCCGAGTCGAGACTAAGTTCGGCTTGCGCGATCCCATCCGATTCCGATGTTCGGGCATTTCGACGCGGCCCGATGCCTGCATGGCATTGTTGTGCATCCCGGCGCGGCCGATTCGATTCGATTCCGAGCCATGCCGATGCAGCCCGATCTGACGGCATTCTGATTCGATCCGATTCCCCGATTCGATGCTGACTCTGTTCCTGCTGTCCCGCTCCCAGTGGAGGAGACGAAAAGGAAAAGGAAGAGGTTGGAGGTGCAAATGGGCAGGAGGAGCTACTCATGGTGAATGTCTTTGGGCCCCAAGACGCGCTCGTTGCCTTCATTGCCCTTGTTCTTTTTCGTCCCGTTCGCCAGCCGTATCTTTCACGGTCCTGGCGTTCTCGTCCCTTTCTCTCTTTTCTCATCTTATTTCTTTCTTCCCCTCTATTTCTCTCCCGTCCTTAGTACACTTGTTATGCTCTTTTATTCCATCGTGCTCTTGACGTCACCAGGGTAGAGTTACGAGTCGGCGATGCTCGGGAGACCAATCGCCTGCCTTCTCCTCCTGCTTGTGATTTTCGTTCACCTTCTGCTTGTACTGTTCGTCCATCTTTGTGTTTTTGACTTCAGCAGACGTGGATAAACAAAGAACATGCCAGGGATTCTCAGTTCGAGCGCGCGTGGGTTGGGAGGGTTCGTGTGTGTGTGTGTGTGTGTGGCGTCGTACCTCGGCCACGCAAGAGACTACGCAATGACGGCTCTTCTGGTGTCTCGGAGGAGACCACCAGCATGAACCAACCTTTTTCCCGAGATCCGCGCAGAGTTCCAGAAGTTCATGTGCGTGCAGTTTTCTGGTCCTTGAATACGAACTCAGCAGAAGACCAGCACAAATAAGGAGCCGAACTCTACCAACCGACGCTTTTTCCGGCCCAGCACTGACATTCGCACAGGAAAGCGGATCTTTGTGTATACGGTATCTTGGCGTATACATGTGTCGTTGTTTCCCTGCCGCCTGAGGCCCCGCCCGCCGTTGCCTTGTATCCCTAATTAAAGCTGTGCGTAGCCCGCCTAGCTTTTAGCGGAAGAGGTTCGCTCTCGCCCCGCCGACCAAAAAAAAAGTGTCGTTGTTTCCCCAGGAAGACGGGAATATATATAGATATATACACCACACCACCCCGACGTCGTCCCCGACAGAAGTCCTGGGATTGAAAAACGGTCCGCCACTGGTAGCGCACATGCTCCATTTTCCGAGCAACAGCGTGCACAGCGTGCGGCACTCGCCTCTGGCTGGTAGGGGCAGCTCCCCCCCTCCCAGAGAATGCTCGTCGGGCCCACTCTCGTCACCAGGACGCTGCGCAGCGCTCGCTGTCGCGGCAAATGTGGAGAGCGGGCCGTTCCTTTATTGTCTAAGGTGATGGTTTTCGTATTCGTTGTTTTGCCGATCGGCGCGGGCTCTCGCCCCCCCCCCGATCTTGGCTGCTTTTGGCGCCTGTTTCGAGCAGGTGGAGTCTCCCTCACAGGATGCACTTATGCAAACAGTCGTATTAAGCAGAGGTCCAGAGCCAGACCCCCCCTCCCTCCCTTCCGCCCAATGTCTAACCGTCAAATAAGACAACCTTCAGAAGGGCATTCGGCCCATCCCAGCACTGCGCCGAGGTTGTGGGTCTGAGGCCTCTTGGGTGTCTGTGGTGATCTCTTGAGAGGCCTCTCCATATGCCTCTTTGGGGCGATTCTCAGGTGTCCTGGGAGCCTCTCAGGGGCCTCTTGAGGTCCTTTTGGAGATTAACGTGGGCTTCTTGGGGGTCTCCTGGGCTTCGCCTCTTGGGGGACTGCTAGCGGTCTCGGGGATCATCGTGGGGCGGAGGGCTCGAAATGTCACTTCGACTTCCCCCTCTAGGGCAACTCGTGGAGCGATCTTGTGACCCTCTTGGACCGTCGTGGTGGCCTCTTGAGCCGCCTTGAGGCCTTCTTGGGCCGCCTTAGGGCCTTGTTGGGGCCTTATTGGGCCGTCTTGGGACGATCTTGGAGGCGAGACCGCTACATTCTTTCGAAAGCCAGGCGAAAATCTCTTGGTGCTCTCTTGAGGCATCTTGGGGGCCGCTTTGGTTGTCTCGAGGCTATGTTCGGCGACTCGGAGCGCTCTTGGGCTGTCTCGGGGCCCTCTTGGATCGTCTCGGAAGCCTCTTGGGGGCCTCTTGGCCCGTGTTGGGCCCCCCTGGCCTCAGGACAAGTCACAGGAGAAGCTCCGAGAGGTCTTCGGGAAGCCCCAGGAGCGCCCAGGAGTTCTTGGAACTCGAGGCTGTGGGCCCCATCAAAATATTGCAGTATTCAGAGCAGAGGACTCGAAGGACCTGAGGGCACTCCGCTGCGTGCCTCGGAGCACGGCGGCAGATTGCATTCGCGGGCAGTCACCCATATATTCGTACCTGCATGTCCAGTGGGCGGGGACGCGGAAGATGGAGCTCACGTGCGCCGGCGGGGGCGCCTTCGGAGAGTGGGGAGCGGGGTGGGTGGGTGGCCCTCCCTCCTCTTCCGCTTCTTGCTCTTCCTCCTCGCCTCCGTCCCCCCTGGACCCCGTCGGGTTCGCTTCCCGTGCTGCCCCACCCGACGATCCGAATGGGGGCCCGATGCTTGCATGCAGCCTGGCGCAGCTGCGATCCACGTGCAAAGCCCCCCCCCCCTGGGTCCTCCCCTTCGGGAGCAAATCATGGGAGCCAGGTGTACCCTCCTTATCCCGTCTCAGGCGTCGACTAGCGTCGATTAGCGTCTGGGGGTCGACGAGATCGCGCCGATTTCGCGTCGGGTGGCGTCGAGTGAGCGTCGATTCTGTAGGCCTACGCCACATCCGCCGACCCCTCTATAAACTACTGCGCCTCCAGGACTGCATTCCACGGGGCTTGTCCGAATCATGACACGGCGCTCGACATCGTACCTGTTGCCTCGGGGTTGTTATCGTATTTTCCGGGACCCACGCTTCGTCCCGATCCGTTCCTTGGCGGCCCCCAGTGGGCTCCGAGACGGCTTCCGGCTGCACGCCGAGGGTGTCCAGGGTCTGTTATCTGCCACCTCTCGGGCAGAATTCCGAAACCGGGGCGAGGAACAGTAGCAAGAATGCGTCAAGTTCAGGGTCGTGTGTGGCACGCTCTGGGATGTCCGTTGGGATCTCGTGGCGAGGATTCTCGCGGGCCTCTTCGAGGCAGTTTCGAAGGGTCTTGGGGGCCGTTTTGGGGCTTCTTTTGGGCCTCTTGGGGGCTCCTTGGGGCCTCTTGGGTACCTCATGGGGGCCTCTTGGGGCCGCTTGGGGGCCTCTTGGGTTCTCCGGAGAGCTTCGTTGGGCGGAGCGCTGGAATGCGCAGTTCGTGGTCACTCTCTTGGGCCCTTTTTGGGGCTGTCTTGGAGCTCTCTTGGGCCGTCTAGGGCGCCTCCTGAGCCACGTTGGAGTTCTTTTGGGTTGTCTTTGGGGCCTCCTGGGAGCCTCGTGGGCCGCCTTGGGGTGATCCTGGGGGCCTCGTGGGGGCCTCGTGGACGGTTTTCAATTCCATGAAGGCTAACAAATTGGATCTGCTGAACATGCACGTTTTTCCAAGGGAGTTCCAAGATTTGAGTTTCTTGGGGGCTTCTTGGAGGCCTCTTAGACGCTTCGTGGGGTGTCTTGGCGGCCTCTTGGGCCGTTTGGAGCTCATCGTGGGCGTCTTGGAACGATCTTTCGGCGACTTGGGGTTCTCGTGGACCGTCTTGACGGCTTCTTGGGAGGCGTCAAGTGTTGTCGTGCAGCTCAAGATCGAGCCCAGGGAGCCCAGAGCGCCCCGGGTGAGTTCGGTCCGGGACCACCCGGGGCCGGGGGGGGGGTCAAAATCCCAGTTTGGGGTCCTTGGGGGGAATAAATGGGGGGGAACAATCTTACACGCCTGGAGACTCACAAGGGGTCGGCGGATTTAGCGCCGACTAGCGTCGACTAGCGTCGATTAGCGTCGATTTGCAAGAGCCGACAAGATGGTACGGGAGGCCCCCACGAGTTGCCACCGAGCTCCCTCCTGGCCGCGCCAGCGCAGGCCAGTCGCCCATCAACATAAGCGAGGCCGCGCGGCACTCGAACACCTCCGCCGGCCCGCGGTCCCTGTTCTACAGGTACGACAGGTACTATCGGCCCATCACGATGCGGAGCTCGAGGAAGAAATGAGGCATACACGTACGTCTTCGCAGGCCCGCGCCGATCTCCAGGGTCGGGCGATGGTCCCCCCGCGCTGTTGGCGGCGCCAGAGGCGCCACCAGCGGCTGTCCCGCGCCGGTCCAAGAAGCCCGCGCGGACGCGAAGGTTTATGTTCATGTCGTCTTCCTTGACGTGCGGTGTCTTGACTTTTTCGACAGAGGCCCCCCGGAAGTCCCGATCCTTTCCCCAGGGCGTGCTTTTCATCCCGAGGCCGTTTTCTAGCGGTCCCGGGGTCCGCCGAGGGCCCCCGGAGGTCGAAAGTGGCCAGCAGCTGTTCGTTGTGTGTGTGTGTGTGTTTCCGACGACGCGAGCATGTTTGGGTTTTCTTCCTCTAGGAACGACGGCAGGGTTCTGGCGGGCGAGCTGGAGGGCCCCGCTGGCGGCTTCGCCCTGGGGGCGCACTACCCGGCCGGCATCGACGCGGAGTACGAGCTCTGGAGGTTCCAGGGGCAATGTTCGGGGGGGGGTAGGCTCACGGGGGATGCATCGACCCCCAGTCGCCCATTCAGCGCCGATGGAGGCCTGATAGCCCAGCCCTCCCAGGATCTTGTGCGTTCGCCATCGGGGGCCGATCGCCAGTCTGTCGGCGATGCATCGCCGATGCCAGGTCGAGGCTCCCCGCCTGAGCCATGTCCCCCCTCACCTTGCCGCTCGAGGCTCGAGATCCACTCGCCCTCGGAGCACACGTTCCTCGGCAAGCGTGTGGACCTCGAGGTCCTCGGTGGCGCCCAAGAGGAGGGTGAGGACCGGGGGTTGCGTGTGTGCCCTCAGATCCAGACGGAGCAACATCATATTATTATTATTATTATTAGTATTATTCGTATTATTATTATTACTATTATTACTATTACTATTATTATTATTGTTATTATTATTATTATTTTTATTATTACTATTATTACTATTATTATTAGTATTACTATTATTATTATTATTACTATTAGTATTATCATTATTATTATCATTATTATTATTATTCGTATTATTATTATTATTTGTATCAATGACACGCGCGTCGCCCTCCCAACAGAGCGTGCCACTCGTTCGCGCTCTGTCCAACTGCCCGACACTCTTCCGGTAGTACCACGCTTCTTGGGGTCGTCCGACCAGCGTGCACCGATTTCTTGCTCCCCCTTGCTGCTTTTGCGGTCTGGGACCGTCCACACTTTTTTGATCCGCGGGTCGAGAGCGAGCCTCTTCCGGTCCAAGCTAAGCGGGCTGCGCACAGCTTTAATTGACAGAGGGGAGAAGGCAGAAGGAGGGGCCTCGCGTCAAGGCCAAAAGAGGACAAAGCCCTGGGATCAGGCGGTGCCGAAAGCGAAGTGCATGCAAAGGAACGCCTTGTACAGGAACCTGGAGGCGAAGTATTGGAAAAACAACATGCGGGGACCGTCCGCACACGACCCAGAAGGAAAAACCGAGCCACGTGGAGGTGGTCAAGAGCTCCAGTCGGAGTATGCGCAGTGGCGGGGCGACAGAGGAGGGGGCAGCGAGGGCTGCAGAACGGGGCCCGTTGGTGGGGCCGCGGAATGGAGCCCTTTGGGGCACCTAGATGGGGCCCTGTCGGGTCCAAGAGGGGGCCTTTAGGCTTCGAGAAGGGCACCTCCCCCTTTGGGGCACCTAGATGGGGCCCTTTCGGGTCCAAGAGGGGGACTTTAGGCTTCGAGAATGGCACCTGTCTCCCCCCCCTCCATCTATCGCCCCTCTATCCATTCGCGCCCAGCCCAGAGCCGACGTCACGACAAACCTGCAACGTCGGAAGAGAGGTGGTGTGCAAGTGCGTGGATTTTTGTTGTCTTTCCTGGCGTGCCCCTGCAGCACGGCGCAGGTCGTCGGCCGCCTGGGTTTCCCGGTCTGCGGCGGCCGCGCGGGCTGGTCGGCTGCCTTCGCAGTCCCCGCGTCCCGGCCTTCCCTTACTTGCTCGTCGTCCTGGCTTCCAGCCTTGCTGCGCACCCTCTTGTCGATGGCCCGACAACCTCCGACATCTCAGGATCACTCACAGAGCCAAGGAGAGCATCCGAACCCACAGCGACCACCGGATCGAAGCTAAAACTACGTACCAACACACACAAACCCGGCGAATGACTCCGAAAATGAGAGCCGTGGAAGACAATCGAACACCTCCGAACACGTGCGAGAACATCAGGAAACAATCGGAAACAAGTTGGGAGAGCACCAGCCGCCTCCGCTTTAATTTCCAACAGGGCCCCCGAGACGACCAGCACCAGCACCACCCCCTCCCCCTTCTTGCGCACACGCCTCGGGCAGTGATGTCTTCCCTGATATCCTCGCGCCGCGAATCAAAAACACGATGGGATGCTCTTGGTTTTTTTCGGCCTGTGGGGGCCCTCTTTCCGGATCTCGGGGCCGTCAAAAAGCGGCTCGGGATGACAGGCCTGTCGGTTCCGGGAAGGGTTCCAGACCTTTGGGGCGGCAATGCGGGATCCCCAGAAGTTTCGTTCCTTCCCCCAATGATTGACGACAAAGTCAACGGCATTCTTTGTCACGCAGCACTTCCGCCATGGCGCCCGCTCACAAGGGCGGCTGGGCTCGTCCTCCTTGGCAGCGCCTTCGCGATGGCGACGACGGCGGACACGCAAACGAGGCATGGAAGTGCGGACGTTGCGGCTGCGGCAGGAATATCGGGCGCTTCTTCTTCTGCCAGCAATGCGGAAGGAAGATCAAGGAAGTCGCAGGGGTCCAGCGCCCGCAGCTTGGGGGAGCATGGGCTGGTGACTGGGATTGCAAAGGCTGCAACAACGGCGCTGGAGGCATCCTGGCTGTCGGTCTTCAGGGAGCTGCCGCCCCTACCGCTGCTGGGGATCAAGCCGTACTAGATGACCAGGAACTCCAGCAGTCCATCGCTTTCAACCGCGAGATAGGCAACGCCACGGCCGCTGCTGCACTCCATGGGAGGCTCGACAAGAGGCGTGCAGCTGTGCAGCCAGTCCCCCTTCAGACGCAGGCGACGAACGTTGGCAAGCGTATCAAGCAGTTGGAGAGGAAGTTCACAGGCGAGATGGAGCAGCGTGCTCGTTGGCAGGCATGGTTGCTCGAGAAGCAAGGGTCCATTGGTAAATTGCGGGTGGGTCTGGCGGAAGAAGCCTGCCACTAGAAGTCTCTCGCGGAGCAGCTGCGTTTACAGGTTTTCCCACCAGATCCTGCTGCTTATGATTCTCATTGGGTCAAGCAGGCCACCCTCTAGGTTTTTTTCTGGAAGGCAACGTCGCTTTTCCGGTCTTGCCCAGCGTGGAGTCAGTCTTCGACATCGACAGGTCGGCTGACGAGGTGAGGTGAGGTGCAGGCTTCCGACGCAGCAGAGTTCGAGAACGGGGCCGAGCAGCTCCGAGACGTCATCACGTCAGCTGCGAAGGCTCCGGCCAGCTCAACGCAGCTCACGCCAGCCACATCAATTGGCGTAGCAAGAAGCATAATAACAATAATGGCGAGGCCACGGCGCCAGCCGGCGCTGGCGCAGACTCCGGTGCTGCCGCGTCAGCGGGCGTGCCCCGCTTTGGCGAAGGCGGCGGCGGCGCAGGGGGTGCGTCATCGGTCTTGGCGGCCTCGGCTACGGCTTCGGCCTCTGACCTTCTCGCCGCTGCTGGCGAGCTCCCCGGGCCTTCCCCTTAGCAAGCGGACCCCCCTGCCAGCGCGTCCTCGGGGGCGTGGGTGCAGGCGGCTAATTGAGGCCCCTCGTGGGCGTAGCCGCGGGGGCCTGTGCGCCGCGGCGACCTGCCCCCCGCGGGCGCCGCCGCCGAGCCTCGCTCATCCGGTCCAGGTGGTGCCGTTTTAAGCGACGTCGTTTTAGCCGGGCTCTTTGTGCGGATCGGCAATTGAATGGGGGAGGAGGCGCGTGGTCAGTTTCTTCTCGGGGCCGCCGTGGAGGCCCTTGTCCCGTGAGGCCCCCCCCCCCCCCCCTCGGCTAAATCTGCTTCCAGCACGGGGGGCGGGGGCAACTGGCGCCGCCCTGGCGCGTCGGCGCCAGGGGCCAGGCTGCCCCCCCCCATCCGTCGTTCATAATTTTAGGACTTCCCGGGGCGGGCCTCCATGGGGCCGAGGTTTTGAAGTGAGGGGTGGGCGTCTCCTCTCGGGTCGGGCCTAGTTCCTGTCTCGGTTTAGTTGGGGCCTCCCCGTCCCCGTCCAGGGATTGGCTTTGTTTCTGTTTTGAAGCCTGCAGCGCCGCGTCATGGGGGTCATGCGAGGATCCGCTCCTGGGGGCCCACCCAGGCCCGCGTCATAGCCGTCCATGAGCGCCATCCAGTCAGTCAAGATTCTTGTAATGACGCATCGGCTTGGTTAGCGTAATTGATTCGTCTCCGCGCGTCGGCATGGCGTTAGCTTGTAAAGGCGCATCGGCATGGGCACTTCCCCCGCGTCTCCGCTGATAGGCAGGGGCAGCTCAGGCGGCGCGGCCATCTTCGACCGCCGCTTCCTCGGCATGCACCCGTTCCCAAACGGCGACTCCGAGCGTTGCCCTGCCTGGGCTGCGTTTCCCATGTGGTCGTTTTCTGGTTTTGGAAACTGTGGGGGGCATCTCTGGCATTCGCGCTTCGGAGATGCTCGCGGCTGGGGGCTTCAACGCGAGCCCCGGGGAGGTTCGATTAGCGGTTTCCGGGGAAAACTTCCGGGGCGCATCCTGGGCACCGCCTGCGACGGCGCGCGCCGGGCCGCCGGTGGGGCGAAGGTGGTGGATTTCTTCGTGGTTGCGAAAGGCGGTGCGGAGGCCGCGGAATATATGGCCGCGCGGCGCGTCGCGAACGTCGCTCCACGCAGGCCCGCGCGGCTCGAGTTGCGCGAGAGAGCGTCCTCTTCGCAGGCCTTGGTGCTCGACGGGCCCCCGCCCGCCCCTTCGGCGCGCCCAGTGGGGCTCCTTCGGGGCCCTGCCTTCTTGGAAACGCGTTGTGGGAGCAGGCGGACCTATGCTGGATCAGCTGGCCTGGGGTAACTCGACCCGAGGTCTCCTGGGCGAATTTTCCCACCTTTGCATGATCTGGGCAAATCTTGCGGTGCGTGGGGCGGCCGGGGCGGCGCGGGCCGAGCTGCCGCGTCGCGGTTCCAGGAGAAGGCCCCACCTGCTGAAATTGGTCTGGTGTTCAGGGGCTCTCCCCGCGACAGGAAGGTGTCGGAGCTCTTGGGGATCAAGTGGTGTGGTCAGTGGTGCTTTCTGGCAGTGGAGAGGCGCTGAGATCGGTTCCCCCGAGGCCCAACCGCGCGCGAGTTTAATCGGATCTCCGCCTGGTGGCTTGTCGGAGTTTGTCGCCGCGCATTCTGGCGGACTGCAGCGATGCCAGGAGAGAGTGGGGCTCCCTCGCTGCCTGCCATTTGCCGAGCCAGGCGTCGAAATTGCAGGTCAGGATCAGCGCCGCCACGAAGGGCGGCGCGCCTGCAACGTGCGAGCGCGACGCTTGCGTCGGTCCCCGTTTGCAGGACTTCCCCGAAGGAGCGGATGGCCGCGACTCCGACCTCTTCGAGTTTCTCGACCAGGCGCTGGCCCGGGAGCAGGCGCGCCAGAAGTCAGGCCAGCAAGTTTTTGAGTGCTGCTGAGGACCAGTGAAGATAGGGGGCAGGAACGAACGCCTGGCAGGGGGGCGCGCAGTGGGCTGGAAGGCCGCCGCCGCCCTATCGTCTTCTGGTGTCGTGCTTTCGGGCCCTTTGGCCCTCCGCAAAAGTCAGGCTTCCGCCTTTGCCAAAATCCGCGGGGCAGAATTCCAGGC